TCGAATTCCTTCTCCCATCCTTTTTCGAATTCCTTCTCCTCTCCCATTTCGAATTCCTTCTCCCATCCCTTTTCGAATTCCTTCTCCTATCCCTTTTCGAATTCCTTCTCCCATCCCTTTTCGAATTCCTTCTTCTATCTCTTTTCGAATTCCTTCGAATATCCCTTTACGAATTACTTCTCCCATCCCTTTACGAATTCCTATATCTATCCCTTTTCGAATTCCTTCTCCTATCCCTTTACGAATTCAATCTCCTATCCCTTTTCGAATTCCTTCTCCCATCCCTTTTCGAATTCCTTCTCCTATCCCTTTTCGAATTCCTTCTCCCATCCCTTTTCGAATTCCTTCTCCTATCCCATTACGAATTCCTTCTCCTATTATCCCTTTTCGAATTCCTTATTAATCCCATTTCGAATTCCTTCTCCTATCCCGTTACGAATTCCTTCTCCTATTATCCCTTTTCGAATTCCTTATTAATCCCTCTTCAAATTCCTTCTCCTATCCCTTTTCGAATTCTTTCTCCTATCTCTTTTCGAATTCCTTCTCATATCACTTTACGAATTACTTCTCCCATCCCTTTACGAATTCCTTATTTATCCCTCTTCGAATTCCTTCTCCTATCCCTTTTCGAATTCTTTCTCCTATCTCTTTTCGAATTATTTCTCATATCCTTTTACGAATTACTTCTCCCATCCCTTTACGAATTCCTATATCTATCCCTTTACGAATTCCTTCTCCTATCCCTTTTCGAATTCCTTCTTAATCCCATTTCGAATTTCTTCTCCCATCCTTTTCGAATTCCTTCTCCTATCCCGTTACGAATTCCTTCTCCTATTATCCCTTTTCGAATTCCTTATTAATCTCTTTTCGAATTCCTTCTCCCATTTCGAATTCCTTCTCCTATCCCGTTACGAATTCCTTCTCCTATTATCCCTTTTCGAATTCCTTATTAATCCCTTTTCGAATTCCTTCTCTATCCCTTTTCGAATTCCTTCTCCCATCTATTTTCGAATTCCTTCTTCTATCCCTTTTCGAATTCCTTCTCCCATCCCTTTTCGAATTCCTTCTCCTATCCCTTTTCGAATTCCTTCTCCCATCCCTTTTCGAATTCCTTCTCCCATCTCTTTACGAATTCCTTTTTCTATCCCTTTTCGAATTCCTTCTCCCATCTATTTTCGAATTCCTTCTTCTATCCCTTTTCGAATTCCTTCTCCCATCCCTTTTCGAATTCCTTCTCCTTTCCCTTTTCGAATTCCTTCTCCCATCTCTTTTCGAATTCCTTCTCCTATCCCTTTACGAATTCCTTCTTCTATCATTTTTCGAATTCCATCTCCTCTCCTTTACGAATTCCTTCTAACATCCCTTTACGAATTCCTTCTTCTATCCCTTTTCGAATTCCATCTCCCATCCCTTTTCGAATTCCTTCTCCTATACCTTTTGGAATTCCTTCTTCTATCTCTTTTCGAATTCCTTCTCATATCCCTTTACTAATTACTTCTCCCATCCCTTTACTAATTCCTTCTTCCATCCCTTTTCGAATTCCTTCTCCTATCCCGTTACGAATTCCTTCTCCTATCCCTTTTCGAATTCCTTCTCCCATCCTTTTTCGAATTCCTTCTCCTCTCCCATTTCGAATTCCTTCTCCTATCCCTTTTCGAATTCCTTCTCCCATCCCTTTTCGAATTCCTTCTTCTATCTCTTTTCGAATTCCTTCTCATATCCCTTTTCGAATTCCATCTCCTATCCCTTTTCGAATTCCTTCTCATCTCCCATTTCGAATTCCTTCTCCCATCTCTTTTGGAATTCCTTCTCCTATCCCTTTACGAATTCCTTCTTCTATCATTTTTCGAATTCCATCTCCTCTCCTTTACGATTTCCTTCTCCCATCCCTTTACGAATTCCTTCTTCTATCCCTTTTCGAATTCCATCTCCTATCCCTTTTCGAATTCCTTCTCCTCTCCCATTTCGAATTCCTTCTCCCATCTCTTTTCGAATTCCTTCTCCTATCCCTTTACGAATTCCTTCTTCTATCATTTTTCGAATTCCATCTCCTCTCCTTTACGAATTCCTTCTCCCATCCCTTTACGAATTCCTTCTTCTATCCCTTTTCGAATTGCTTCTCCTATCCCTTTACGAATTCATTCTCCTCTCCCGTTTCGAATTCCTTCTTCTATCCCTTTTCGAATTCCTTCTCCTATCCCTTTACGAATTCCTTCTCCTATCCCTTTACGAATTCCTTCTCCTATCCTTTACTAATTCCTTCTCCCATCCCTTTTGGAATTCCATCTCCCATCCCTTTTCGAATTCCTTCTCCCATCCCTTTTCGAATTCCTTCTCCCATCTCTTTACGAATTCCTTCTCCTATCCTTTACTAATTCCTTCTCCCATCCCTTTTGGAATTCCATCTCCCACCCCTTTTCGAATTCCTTCTCCCATCTCTTTACGAATTCCTTCTTTTATCCCTTTTCGAATTCCTTCTCCTATCCCTCTACGAATTCCTTCTTCTATCCCTTTTCGAATTCCTTCTCCTATCCCTTTTCGAATTCCTTCTCCCATCCCTTTACGAATTCCTTCTCCTATGCCTTTTCGAATTCTTTCTCCTATCCCTTTTCGAATTCCTTCTCCCATCTCTTTACGAATTCCTTTTTCTATCCCTTTTCGAATTCCTTCTCATATCCCTTTTCGAATTCCATCTCCTATCCCTTTACGAATTCCTTCTCCTATCGCTTTTCGAATTCCTTATCCTATCCCTTTACGAATTCCTTCTTCTATCTCTTTTCGAATTCCTTCTCATATCCCTTTACTAAATACTTCTCCCATCCCTTTACGAATTCCTTCTTTTATCCCTTTTCGAATTCCTTCTCCTATCCCTCTACGAATTCCTTCTAACATCCCTTTACGAATTCCTTCTTCTATCCCTTTTCGAATTCCATCTCATCCCCCTTTTCGAATTCCTTCTTCTATCCCTTTACGAATTAAATCTCCCATCCATTTACGAATTCTTTCTCCTATCCCTTTTCGAATTTCTTCTCCTATCCCTTTTCGAATTCCTTCAACTATCCCTTTTCGAATTCTTTCTTCTATCCCTTTTCGAATTTCTTCTCCTATCCCCTTTCGAATTCCTTCTACTCTCCCTTTTCGAATTCCTTCTCCCATCCCTTTTCGAATTCCTTCTCCTATCCCTTTACGAATTCCTTCTCCCATCCCGTTACGAATTCCTTCTCCTATCCCTTTACTAATTCCTTCTCCCATCCCTTTTGGAATTCCATCTCCCATCCCTTTTCGAATTCCTTCTCCCATCCCTTTTCGAATTCCTTCTCCCATCTCCTTACGAATTCCTTCTCCCATCCCTTTTCGAATTCCATCTCCCATCCCTTTTCGAATTCCTTCTCCTATCCCGTTACGAATTCCTTCTCCTCTCCCGTTTCGAATTCCTTCTCCTCTCCCTTTTCGAATTCCTTCTCCCATCCCTTTTCGAATTCCTTCTCCTATCCCTTTACGAATTCCTTCTCCCATCCCGTTACGAATTCCTTCTCCTATCCCTTTACGAATTACTTCTCCTATCCCTTTTTGAATTCCTTCTCCTCTCCCTTTTCGAATTCCTTCTCCCATCTCTTTACGAATTCCTTCTTCTATCCCTTTTAGAATTCCTTCTCCTATCACTTTACGAATTCCTTCTCCTATCCCGTTACGAATTCCTTCTTCTATCCCTTTTAGAATTCCTTCTCATATCCTTTTACGAATTACTTCTCCTCTCCCGTTTCGAATTCTTTCTCCTCTCCCTTTTCGAATTCCTTCTCCCATCCCTTTACGAATTCCTTCTCCCATCTCTTTACGAATTCCTTCTTCTATCCCTTTTAGAATTCCTTCTCATATCCTTTTACGAATTACTTCTCCTCTCCCGTTTCGAATTCTTTCTCCTCTCCCTTTTCGAATTCCTTCTCCCATCCCTTTTCGAATTCCTTCTCCCATCTCTTTACGAATTCCTTCTTCTATCCCTTTTAGAATTCCTTCTCCTATCACTTTACGAATTCCTTCTCCTATCCCGTTTCGAATTCCTTCTCCTCTCCCTTTTCGAATTCCTTCTCCCATCCCTTTTCGATTTCCTTCTCCTATCCCTTTACGAATTTCTTCTATCATCCCGTTACTAATTCCTTTTTCTATCCCTTTTAGAATTCCTTCTCTTATCTCACGAATTCCTTCTCCTTTCCCTTCGAATTCCTTCTCCTATCCCTTTTCGAATTCCTTCTCCTACCCCTTTTCGAATTCCTTCTCCTATCCCTTTTCGAATTCCTTCTCCCATCCCTTTACGAATTCCATCTCCCATCCCTTTTCTAATTCCTTCTCCCATCCCTTTTCGAATTCCTTCTCCTATCCCTTTACGAATTCCTTCTCCCATCCCGTTACGAATTCCTTCTCCTATCCCTTTACGAATTACTTCTCCTATCCCTTTTTGAATTCCTTCTCCTCTCCCTTTTCGAATTTCTTCTCCCATCCCTTTTCGAATTCCTTCTCCCATCTCTTTTCGAATTCCTTCTCCTATCCCTTTACGAATTCCTTCTTCTATCCCTTTTCGAATTCCTTCTCCTATCCCTTTACGAATTCCTTCTCCCATCTCTTTACGAATTCCTTCTTCTATCCCTTTTAGAATTCCTTCTCATATCCTTTTACGAATTACTTCTCCTCTCCCGTTTCGAATTCTTTCTCCTCTCCCTTTTCGAATTCCTTCTCCCATCCCTTTTCGAATTCCTTCTCCCATCTCTTTACGAATTCCTTCTTCTATCCCTTTTAGAATTCCTTCTCCTATCCCTTTACGAATTCCTTCTCCTATCCCGTTACGAATTCCTTCTCCTATCCCGTTTCGAATTCCTTCTCCTCTCCCTTTTCGAATTCCTTCTCCCATCCCTTTTCGATTTCCTTCTCCTATCCCTTTACGAATTTCTTCTATCATCTCTTTACGAATTCCTTTTTCTATCCCTTTTAGAATTCCTTCTCTTATCTCACGAATTCCTTCTCCTTTCCCTTCGAATTCCTTCTCCTATCCCTTTTCGAATTCCTTCTCCTACCCCTTTTCGAATTCCTTCTCCTATCCCTTTTCGAATTCCTTCTTTCATCCCTTTACGAATTCCATCTCCCATCCCTTTTCTAATTCCTTCTCCCATCCCTTTACGAATTCCTTCTTCTATCCCTTTTCGAATTCCTTCTCCCATCTCTTTACGAATTCCTTCTCCTATTCCTTTTCGAATTCCTTCTCCTCTCCCGTTTCGAATTCCTTCTCCTCTCCCTTTTCGAATTCCTTTTCCCATCCCTTTTCTAATTCCTTCTCCTATCCCTTTACGAATTCCTTCTCCCATCCCGTTACGAATTCCTTCTCCTATCCCTTTACGAATTACTTCTCCTATCCCTTTTCGAATTCCTTCTCCTCTCCCTTTTCGAATTCCTTCTCCCATCCCTTTTCGAATTCCTTCTCCCATCTCTTTTCGAATTCCTTCTCCTATCCTTTTACGAATTCCTTCTTCTATCCCTTTTCGAATTCCATCTTCTCTCCTTTACGAATTCCTTCCCATCCCTTTACGAATTCCTTCTTCTATCCCTTTTCGAATTCCTTCTCCTATCCCTTTACGATTTCTTTCTCCTATCCCGTTATGAATTCCTTCTCCTCTCCCGTTTCGAATTCCTTCTCCTATCCCTTTACGAATTCCTTCTTCTATCCCTTTTCGAATTCCATCTCCTCTCCTTTACGAATTCCTTCTCCCATCCCTTTACGAATTCCTTCTTCTATCCATTTACTAATTACTTTTACTATCCCTTTACGAATTCCTTCTCCCATCCCGTTACGAATTCCTTCTCCTATCCCTTTACGAATTCCTTCTTCTATCCCTTTTCGAATTCCATCTCCTCTCCCTTTTCGATATCCTTCTCCAATCCCGTTTCGAATTCCTTCTCCCATCCCTTTTCGAATTCCTTCTCCTATCCCGTTACGAATTCCTTCTCCTATCCCGTTACGAATTCCTTCTCCTATCCCGTTACGAATTCCATCTCCTATCCCGTTACGAATTCCATCTCCCATCCCTTTACGAATTCCTTCTCCTATCCCTTTACGAATTCCTTCTTCTATCCCGTTACGAATTCCATCTCCCATATTTTTTCGAATTCCTTCTCCTATCCCTTTACGAATTTCTTCTATCATCCCGTTACTAATTCCTTCTCCCATCCCTTTTGGAATTCCATATCCCATCCCTTTTCGATTTCCTTCTCCTATCCCTTTACGAATTCCTTCTATCATCCCGTTACGAATTCCTTTTTCTATCCCTTTTCGAATTCCTTCTCCCATCTCTTTACGAATTCCTTTTTCTATCCCTTTTCGAATTCCTTCTCATATCCCTTTTCGAATTCCTTCTCCTATCCTGTTACGAATTCCTTCTCCTATCCCGTTACGAATTCCTTCTCCTATCCCGTTACGAATTCCATCTCCCATCCCTTTACGAATTCCTTCTCCTATCCCTTTACGAATTCCTTCTTCTATCCCGTTACGAATTCCATCTCCTATCCCTTTTCGAATTCCTTCTCCTATCCCTTTACGAATTTCTTCTATCATCCCTTTACGAATTACTTCTCCTATCCCTTTTCGAATTCCTTCTCCTCTCCCTTTTCGAATTCCTTCTCCCATCCCTTTTCGAATTCCTTCTCCCATCTCTTTTCGAATTCCTTCTCCTATCCCTTTACGAATTCCTTCTTCTATCCCTTTTCGAATTCCATCTTCTCTCCTTTACGAATTCCTTCCCATCCCTTTACGAATTCCTTCTTCTATCCCTTTTCGAATTCCTTCTCCTATCCCTTTACGATTTTTTTCTCCTATCCCGTTATGAATTCCTTCTCCTCTCCCGTTTCGAATTCCTTCTCCTATCCCTTTACGAATTCCTTCTTCTATCCCTTTTCGAATTCCATCTCCTCTCCTTTACGAATTCCTTCTCCCATCCCTTTACGAATTCCTTCTTCTATCCCTTTTCGAATTCCTTCTCCTATCCCTTTACGAATTCCTTCTCCTATCCCTTTTCGAATTCCTTCTCCCATCCCTTTACGAATTCCTTCTTCTATCCCTTTTCGAATTCCATCCCCTATCCCTTTACTAATTACTTTTACTATCCCTTTACGAATTCCTTCTCCCATCCCGTTACGAATTCCTTCTCCTATCCCTTTACGAATTCCTTCTTCTATCCCTTTTCGAATTCCATCTCCTCTCCCTTTTCGATATCCTTCTCCAATCCCGTTTCGAATTCCTTCTCCCATCCCTTTTCGAATTCCTTCTCCTATCCCGTTACGAATTCCTTCTCCTATCCCGTTACGAATTCCTTCTCCTATCCCGTTACGAATTCCATCTCCTATCCCGTTACGAATTCCATCTCCCATCCTTTACGAATTCCTTCTCCTATCCCTTTACGAATTCCTTCTTCTATCCCGTTACGAATTCCATCTCCCATCCCTTTTCGAATTCCTTCTCCTATCCCTTTACGAATTCTTTCTCCCATCCCTTTACGAATTCCTTCTTCTATCCCTTTTCGAATTCCATCTCCTCTCCCATTTCGAATTCCTTCTCCTATCCCTTTACGAATTCCTTCTCCCATCCCGTTACGAATTCCTTCTCCTATCCCTTTACGAATTCCATCTCCTATCCCTTTTCGAATTCCTTCTCCCATCCCTTTTCGAATTCCTTCTCCCATCTCTTTACGAATTCCTTCTCCCATCCCTTTTCGAATTCCACCTCCCATCCCTTTTCGAATTCCTTATCCCATCCCTTTACGAATTCCTTCTCCTTATCCCTTTACGAATTCCTTCTCCCATCCCTTTACGAATTCCTTCTTCTATCTCTTTTCGAATTCCATCTCCTCTCCCTTTTCGAATCCTTCTCCTTTCCCTTTTCGAATTCCTTCTCCCATCCCTTTCTTCACCCATCTCTTTACGAATTCCTTCTCCCATCCCTTTTCGAATTCCACTTCCCATCCCTTTTCGAATTCCTTCTCCCATCCCTTTACGAATTCCTTCTCCTATCCCTTTACGAATTCCTTCTCCCATCCCTTTACGAATTCCTTCTTCCCATCCCTTTACGAATTCCTTCTTCTATCCCTTTTCGAATTCCATCTCCTCTCTTTTACGAATTCCTTCTCCCATCCCTTTACGAATTCCTTCTTCTATCCCTTTACGAATTTCTTCTCCTATCCCATTACGAATTCCTTCTCCTATTCCTTTACGAATTCCTTCTCCTTTCCCTTTTCGAATTCCTTCTCCCATCCCTTTTCGAATTCCTTCTCCCATCCCTTTTCGAATTCCTTCTCCCATCTCTTTTCGAATTCCTTCTCCTATCCCTTTACGAATTCCTTCTTCTATCCCTTTTCGAATTCCATCTCCTCTCTTTTACGAATTCCTTCTCCCATCCCTTTACGAATTCCTTCTTCTATCCCTTTACGAATTCCTTCTCCTATCCCATTACGAATTCCTTCTCCTCTCCCGTTTCGAATTCCTTCTCCTCTCCCTTTTCGAATTCCTTCTCCCATCCCTTTTCGAATTCCTTCTCCTATCCCTTTACGAATTCCTTCTCCCATCCCGTTACGAATTCCTAATCCTATCCCTTTATGAATTCCTTCTCCTATCCCTTTACGAATTCCTTCTCCCATCCCGTTACGAATTCCTAATCCTATCCCTTTACGAATTCCTTCTCCTATCCCTTTTCGAATTCCATCTCCTCTCCCTTTTCGATTCCTTCTCTCATCCCTTTTCGAATTCCTTCTCCTATCCCTTTACGAATTCCTTCTCCCATCCCTTTACGAATTCCTTCTTCTATCCCTTTTCGAATTCCATCTCCTCTCCCTTTTCGAATTCCTTCTCCTATCCCTTTACGAATTCCTTCTACCATCCCGTTACGAATTCCTTCTCCCATCCCTTTTCGAATTCCTTCCCCTATCCCGTTACGAATTCCTTCTCCTATCCCGTTACGAATTCCTTCTCCTATCCCGTTACGAATTCCATCTCCTATCCCGTTACGAATTCCATCTCCCATCCCTTTTCGAATTCCTTCTCCTATCCCTTTACGAATTACTTCTCCCATCCCTTTTCGAATTCCTTCTTCTATCCCTTTACGAATTCCTTCTTCTATCCCTTTTCGAATTCCATCTCCTCTCCCTTTTCGAATTCCTTCTCCCATCCATTTTCGAATTCCTTCTCCCATCTCTTTACGAATTCCTTCTCCCATCCCTTTTCGAATTCCTTCTCCTATCCCTTTACGAATTCCTTCTCCCATCCCGTTACGAATTCCTTCTCCTATCCCGTTACGAATTCCATCTCCCATCCCTTTTCGAATTCCTTCTCCTATCCCTTTACGAATTACTTCTCCCATCCCTTTTCGAATTCCTTCTTCTATCCCTTTACGAATTCCTTCTCCCATCTCTTTACGAATTCCTTCTTCTCTCCCTTTTCGAATTCCTTCTTCTATCCCTTTACGAATTCCTTCTTCTATTTTTCGAATTCCATCTCCTCTCCCTTTTCGAATTCCTTCTCCCATCCCTTTTCGAATTCCTTATCCCATCTCTTTACGAATTCCTTCTCCCATCTCGAATTCCTTCTCCTATCCCTTTACGAATTCCTTCTCACATCCCGTTACGAATTCCTTCTCCTATCCCTTTACGAATTCCTTCTTCTATCCCTTTTCGAATTCCATCTCCTCTCCCTTTTCGAATTCCTTCTCCCATCCCTTTTCGAATTCCTTCTCCCATCTCTTTACGAATTCCTTCTCCCATCCCTTTTCGAATTCCACCTTCCATCCCTTTTCGAATTCCTTCTTCTATCCCTTTACGAATTCCTTCTCCCATCCCTTTACGAATTCCTTCTTCTATCCCTTTTCGAATTCCATCTCCTCTCCCTTTTCGAATTCCATCTCCCATCCCTTTTCGAATTCCTTCTCCTATCCCTTTACGAATTCCTTCTCCCATCCCGTTACGAATTCCTTCTCCTATCCTTTTACGAATTCCTTCTTCTATCCCTTTTCGAATTCCATCTCCTCTCCCTTTTCGAATTCCATGTCCCATGCCTTTTCGAATTCCTTCTCTTATCTCTTTACGAATTCCTTCTCCCATCCCTTTTCGAACTCCATCTCTTATCCCTTTTCAAATTCCTTCTCCCAACCCTTTACAAATTCCTTCTCCTATCTATTTTCGAATTCCATCTCCTATCCCTTTTATTGAAATTTTTCCATCCCATAATCTTTCAACTATCCCATATAATATTTTTTCCCTCTAACCTTATATTCCCATATCTTTCTTCGTATTCCTCCATTTCCTATTCATTTTCCTATTCCTTCACATATCCATTTTTTAATTAAATTTTCTTCCTTTTTTGAAATCCATTTCCTATAATTTTTTAAATTCAATTTAATTCCATACTAACTACGTCTTAAAAATTTATTTAAAAATATGTATCTAATCATACCCATCTCAGATAGCTATTCTAATCGTTTATCTAAATTTTAATAACCTCAAACTTGTTTTATTTAAAATTACCCTTTCTAAATCCAAAAAATTCCAAAACTATCCATAGTCTTTTATAGATTTTAAATAATAAATTATTCTTGTATCTTTTCTTCAGCCCAACCCTACCCATCATCCATGAATTCTATGAATATGAGTTTAATAAAAAACTAATAAAAAATAAAATAACAATTAAATTTGATTTCTTTCCATATCATTATCAAACACATGTTTTGCTGTTAACACTTTGAATCGATAAGCCAACTCTTCTTATAGCTCTATTAAAGATTTATTTATTATGTATTTTAGAGATTTTAAGAAATCGAATTATGCAAAAGTTAAAGATATTTATTTGGGTTTTAATTTAATTGTCAATATGTTTTTAATTAAATCATCACAACACTCTTCATTATGTTATCTTATAGCCCTAAACCATATACAAAAATATAAATATATAATAATACACCAAGTATTTTACTATATCATATCTCTACATCCTGTCCTTTAATAGCCTTAATTTTTTTTTATTGTAAGATGTTTTGTAAACTAAAAATAATTATATTTTAGATTAAATCAAACAATTCATAGAATATTTGTTATAATAAATGATTCTCGGATTTTTTTAAAAACAGTATTAAATTTCAAGACATTTTTTAAAGAACCAGTTATATTAACCATTTATTATAGTATTAAAGCAAAACGTATAAATGATGCAAAATAAAATTTAGAAAATAAAAATTATTTATAAGAATTAAATATTATCGTCATCCTGAAAAAGTATCTGTGAAATTCGTCTCAAACAAATTCTTAGGATCAATCTCGAAAGAAGACCCCAAGAAAAATTTACCTAATTCTTTCCCCCTTCCGCCAGAAATATTTTCTAATAATATAAAAACTAATATGATGCACTAAACTTTCATTTATTCGACTAAAACTCGTGTCTAATTACAATATTCCAAAGAATACTTGTAATAAAAATTTTTCTAATCACAGTAATATAGTATAAAGGAACTGTTATCTAGATATAATTTTTTTTAATAAACAATCCACATATCTAGTTTAGATAAAATCAAGCAGATATTTTTTATTAAAACAACAAATATCACTTATTTAACATAATAATTTTAGGCGACTTCTCACTAATTTTGATCTTTACTAAGATAAATTTCAAATTGATTTAAGGTTAATCTAATCGGTTGAACATTGTAGAAATTTAATATAAGTGAAAGAAATTTTAATATTTTATTGAGGGATAGAATATTTAAAAATTAAATAACTAATTAAAAATAAAATCGAAAGACTTGCCTAGATAAGCTAAAGCAATATTAATATTATAGATCTATCAACGCCCCTCTTCCTAGGAATTTAAGCTATGAATATATTTTAAACTTAACAATTATACCTGAATTCTTTCATATTCAACGCAAGTTTTTTCAACCGTCTTAGAACTGCGTCATTCTCGTGTCTATTCCAATAAAAATACAAAATTATTTAAATATGACAATTCTGCCGTTAAATTTTTTATGTTCTATCATATTATAATAATATTCAACAATTAATAAAAATGATAATAACTTTACTTCTAAAATATATTTCTACAACTACAGAATTTGATGTGATTGTTGAAAAGCTTGATATCAAAATTATTTTAATATCATACAATTATTTTTTTCCCGAGTTTATCATATAGGATTCCCTTCTCTTTGATTTTCAAATTAAGTTAAGGTCAAAATAGTTTCCCTGTAGACTTCCTTGTAATCTTTTTACCTTATAGGAAAAAACCTTTAGTGTGTGTCTTGGTTCGACTTATTACCAAACAGCCGGATTTTTGGCCGTCTATATAGTTTGAACACCTCAAAAAATTAGAGAGAAAAAAAACGATAAAAACAAAATAAAACTAAAAAAGTAAACAACAAAAATAAACACAAAAAAAACAGAAAAATGAGTTTAAGAAAATATTAAAAATAACATTCCATCAAGCACTTATAAACAAACGAAAGGTGTCCAAGTTTAAGCTCTTTATCAGACTAGGCGTTTGTTAGAAAACGAAATTGAAACATCTTACATTAATCAGAGATCGACAAGCTCAGAATAATAGGTCAAAATAGTATGTTTAAAAAATTGAGCGAGGTTGGAAAATTTTAAAAAATATTAAAATCCGAATTTGGCCCTTTTGGCCTTTTAAAAAAATTAATTTAAATTATTCCATAATAGACTAAAAGCCGTTAGAGCAAGGTATTAAATACCCCAGCCTTTCAGAACTGTCACTAAGAAGACCTACTGGTTTGAGATTGGATGGTATGTTAGCTTCGAAAGCTTATAGAATGTTGTTGTTTTGCGGCAGGTTGGGGGGCTGGCGTCCGTGAGAATATTTGCAATGCAGTAATTTACTTTATTACATCTTAGATGAAAAGCGATGAAAATAAGCTATTCGACCAAGAAAAGCAATCAGAGGTTGAAGCTGGGTATTGTCTCTAGCCATTCATATCCTGTTTTCGCTTTAAAAAAAATATTGAATTAAGGTTAACCTCAAGGCTCAAGGTGGCCGTCTGTAAAAATGTAATCAACGACCAGGAAACAAGTAAAAAATCCAAGTCTTTTTGGGCATGAGGGATTGGTCTGATAGTGGGCAATTTTCCTCCCAGGTGTCGAGGACTGAGGTTATCTCGTCGTCTGGGATAAGCCGTTGGAGTTCAAGAAATTCGTAAGTGAAAAGATTAGATAAGCACAAAGGTGAGCGGATGCCAAATAGGTTAGATTTATGGTAAAGTGGCTTTTCGCTGGGCAGAAGTCAAAAATTTTAGGTTCAAAAATGATTCAAGCTTTTTCTTTAATATAAGTTCGTGCGAGGATAGAAAATACTCATTTTTGAATACGGGTGAAGTTCTTATAGCTTATAGAATTTTAAGTATATTAAAGAAGTTTTCAAAAAAGGGTGAAGAGAAAGGGCCTATAATAAAGAGTATTAAGTTGTTTAAGATTTTGAGAGAGCTAATTTAAAGAATGTAAATAGCCCCCTTCCCCCTTTTCCATATTTTGATACATAGACTGGAATCTATTCCAGATATGAGAAGCTCCATTAATATTTAAGAACAAATTATTAACTCTTAAACTAGTTCGTTTATCTACCATGTTTAAATTCATAAAAGGAAAATCACTTACACACACTGAAATACTGATGGTTAAAGTATCCACGCAGTTAAGAATATTTTTAAAATTATTAATTAGGAATTTCATCATCGATATATGCCCAAGTTTCATATTCGTTTAATTTGAATCTTTAGATTCCTTTTATTTGCTTCTCGTAAATCGGTTCTCAGGCCCAAATTTCTATCAAAATAAATAAAGAATATGTCGGAAAAAATATAAAATTAAAAAATAATTTTAAAATTTATTCAAAACATTATACCCCCATTTTTAAAGCTAATTCATTAGATGATAATTTCTAGACAAATTATATTCTATATTTAATCATACTAATTTTTGAGTTTTTAAACAATATATTTTTTAAATAAAGGAGTAATTTCTGAATCGAACAAGCTCAAATATTTACCTATACGGCATCTACATGAGAGAGTAGAATAGAAGCGACTCGCATCCAATTTGAGTAGACACCTAATAGGGTAAAGTTCAAATAAACGCTATTGGTAGATTAATAATAAAAATAAGCGATAAAAAAAAAAGTTTAAATTTATTAATAAATAATTATTTCTCGTTTATTCACAGATAATATTTTAGTAAAGTTTGAAGTTATACAAGCTCGTGGCTAATATATAGAATACGGTTAGTAATAACAACTAGTTGATTAAACTAATGTTTATTTGTTATTTCTGGCCTAAATAATCACAAGCCCTACAAGAGTTTATTTAGAATTGTTTGGAGGTTAGAAATGGTGGCTCATCATATTTTAATTAATGTCACGGGTTATTATAGTATAATAGGTGGAATATATCGCTTCCGAAGGCCGCGTAGGGGTAGATTTTGAAGGGATTTGCTTACAATAAATTTTCTATCATGTAGCTATATGCATAATGTTTTGTCAACATGTTCCTAATGATTTATTTTTTTAAATATCAGTTAATCAATAAAAAAAATGGCTTACTGGCAAAAAGACACTGACGAACCTAACAAAAAAAATGCCAATATATTATTTCTTTTAAATTGAATTGATAATCCTAACAAATAACAACATACCTATAAGAAAATTTCAAATTCCTAAAAGATTTTGTTAAAATTGAATTATTTCTTGCATAAAGTGTTGATAATCGGCTCTTAGCAGTCGAAATTTCCTAAGCCTTAAGGAAAGAGAATATTTTAAGATTGAGCACCCTTTAAGTTTAAATCTAGGGGTCAAGGCTAAGATGTAGTTTCGCTCAAAAATTTGATTTAGCCTTATTAGAGAAGGCTCAAAACCTAGTAAAAATGTAGCTATTTATCAACATAACTTTTTGGTTGTGAATATGCTATCTTTATTTCCAAAAATATCAAATAAAGCACCCCCAGGTTTTGGGCTTACGTTATATTTGATTGCGTGTCCTTCAGATGGAGCAATCTGTTCAAAGTATAAATCTATGATTCTGGAGAGAAAATATATTATTCAAAGTATCTTATATAAAGGAATATTTTTTATATGATTTACTAAGAATTGAAGATATTCAAATATTGCAGAATTGGTAAAAGAATCGTAGATTCTAGATTATATCTAAAAAAAAGTTCAAAGATGGAAAAGAATGATAAGTTTATGATAATTATGCCATTCTTTTAAAAAAAATCTCTTTCTTGTTTTCGATAAATGGAGACAGAACTAAACAAATTATCTTTAAAAAAAATATATATAAATATTTTAAACTATTCACGATTTTATTTCATAATTTGTAGAGTAATTAATATAAAGCAAATCAAGATACTGGTGTGGTAATGTCTAGCAATTTTAATATTAGGCTAAGAAATAAAGAAAATGCCCTGGTAAAAAAAACCATTTAAAATGACTGGTATATTTTGAATTGAAACACATTATATTCTTTTAGATATTGGTTCACAAATAATAATTTTATTTTTTTATAAAACATTCTAATAACAAAAAAATTTTCATAGATTTAGATTTAACAATATTTACTTTCTGAAATAAAATTGTAATAATATTTTGACAATTTTTTTTTTTTCATAATAGAACGTTCTTTTAGAAAGAAATAAGTCTATAGAAATTAGAACAAATTCAAATTTAAATTATTAAATTTATATAAAAAATTTCTAAAAAACTAACGATTTATTTTGAATAAAGTTAATTCAATCCTAAAGTGCTAAACAAAGTTTAAAAAAAAGCAAAATAAGTAGTTTTTCCAATTTGCAAAAGTGTCATTCATTACACAAGGAATATATTTTTTTTTTAAAAAAAATAATGTTTTAAAAATAATAAAACTAGAATAAAATTATAAAAAAAAAGAATTATTAATTTTACAAATCCTTTAAAACTCTCAGGCCTTTTAAAACAATAAAAATTATCACATGACCATGAATTCTAGCAGTGATATACAAAGTACTCTAGCGTCGTCTCTTGAATTGATCGAAAAGTGTTTCGCGGAAAACGAGGAAAAACAGTACAAAATCAAGGATTGTTTGAGGCTTCTAGAGAATAAACGCCTTATTTCCAAAAAATCTATTGAAGAAACGTTTAGAAGGTTTTTATTGGAATATATATATGTTTTTTTAAAACATGATAGTTAATGAAGAATAATTAATTTTTTATAATAATATTTTTGAAAGAATCATTGGCTTGCAAGACGATTTGATGAGAGATTTGAATGAAGCGATTGAAAATAAAGCTGAAACTTTGAGATTATTGCTTCGCAAATTGGAATCTATCAATGGTGCCGTCAAGGAAAAGAGAGAACACATCAACAACCTGATGAAGGGAAAAATTGTAAAAAAATAATTAATTGTTTTTTTTATCGTAGTATGTTGAAATTAGAAACCATTTTTGGGATGAATAGTGGTAAATTCTGTAAAGAGAGAAGAAGAGTTGTAGAGGGGGCGGGGTGTCAGGCCTTCGAAAATCCTCCCCAATAAGAAAATTCTAAATAAAAATATAGTTTGATTTTTTTTAAAAAATTTTAAATTATTCCTCATTATATATATTTTTTAGCTTAATATATATTTAGACTATTGCAAAAAAGTAATAATCTCACAAATGTAACGCTATTCACTAGTTTTTTAAAATTGCTTTCGATAATTTTAAAATTCTTCTATTATCAATATTTCATCCTTCTTAGAACGAAGATTTAGAGGATAACATAGAAAATATCCATAGAGCTATTCTAGAACTCTCATACAAGTCCAACGAACAAACTGGACCAGTCGAAGTCCTAGATTTTGTAAGGGCCGAAAACTTTGAGAAACTTTTCCAAAAAGAAAACATAGGCTACATCCGGCAGCTGCTAACTATACCTGAAGATTTGTATTTTATCAAGCAAGGAGATGTGGTAATTTTTACTTAACATTTATAAATGGGAGATAGGATGGACGTTTTTTTAAACAAAGACTAGCAAAAGGCTAGAAAGAAAGATATTATATATCATTCCAAGAGTATTCTAAATAAAATCCAATATTCATTATTGTATAGCTAATTTTGATTAATACTCTTAGTTAACAGACCTGGACGCCATTTGTTCAGTCGAGTTTGTGTGCAAACAGGATTCAATATTTCTAAGGGATCATTTAGTGTGTTTAATTGAGGATCAGGAACATAAGAACGTTATGTTTACACTGAAGCAACCAATGGAAGGCCGTTATGTAATTCAATTTGTTCCCCACAAATTAGGTTCAACATATAAAATTTTAAATGTTTTAAATACATAAAAGTTTTGTGTTATTAGCATTATTGATATATTTCTTTTTTTTCTTTCGATTCTTCCCTAAATAAAATTTTCAATTGGAGGAGATAGAATTTTAAAGTTTGTATTTAATATTTTAAAGATTTACTATAAATTAGGAAAACCAAATAATTTAAGATGTTAAAAAAATTGAAACCATAGATATTATCTAAATCTCGTTTCCTAATTACCAGGCTATTACATGCTAACGGTCAAATTGTATGGCCAGCCAATATTGGGAAGTCCTATCATGGTTTACGCCACGCCTCCTGTTAGGAGAAGCAATTCTAAATACGGGAAATCGCTTATCTCACAAAATTCGTTCATTCAATCCTCCTATTACCCTACGTTTGAGTCCAACACTGCTATCAACAAGTATGACTGCGACAGGAGATACAGGAGTCATAGCAAGGTTGAAGTTCTTAATCCTTTGCTGCTTCACATAGATATATATTTGAATAACTACATTCATTTTAATTGATGTAAAATAATATAACCTTTAGTTTTAAATTATGCAAACTAATTTAGACGAATTTGCAATCCATCTCGGATTTCCGAATCTCCAAATACATGACGGATGATGCCGCGATTATGGACGAATTTAATGGTGGGCGAGATAATAAAAGTATAAGCTCCTTGAGCAGTTTCTCCAACACCAACCAGCACAACGTTTTCCAAAATGGGTATCATAATGGAAATAATGGAAATCACAATGGAAATCACAATGGAAACCAAAATGCGAATCTTCTCGGGAATCAATATCAACATCAAAACAGCTCCTATCCTTACAATAATCAATCCTCTTCATCTCATTTTGCCAATGAAACTGGTAATAACGGAGGATTTAATTCACTAATCAATAGCGAATGGCCTGCTAATTTTAGGTGCGCGTTTGATAAAGGCAGCTATAAACAACCGCAAAAACAAGTCATAAGGTATGTAAAAAATATTTTTATATATAAACGTTGAGTAAAAAGTTTATGTAATTAATTAAAAAATTTTATATCTCTTAGGTATTCAAAAGAATTTTTGTTATCTTGCGCTAAATCGCCGCTTGCCCGAACCATTACTGCCGATTTAAAACGGAACAGATACATTCTCAAGGATGCTTACAAGGTTAAAGTTATAGTTTTTAACGAACATGCTATACCTTTTTCATTATCTTTAGAGAATTTTTTGTGTAGAAAAGAATATGACTCCAACAATTAAAAAATATTTTAAATTTAAGTTTTGAGTTGTTCTAAGGAACATTAATTGTGCGCAAAATTACTAAATAAAAAGGGCATTTTGAAGTTTTCGACAAAATTTTTGAAATGTATTCATGTATATCAAACTCCGTTCATATTGAATGACTTTTAACGTTCTTAAATTATAAATTAATCTTCAGACCCTTCCCGATCCCTTTTATATGCCAGCTAATCAACTGCCACCTAGTACAATCAAGGATGAGCATCTGATCAGTAATAGGAGAATGGACTGCGGGGATTCAAAAGAAGATATCATAGGCGGCATAAAGAACAAAATTCTTATAGCCGATAATGAAAAAGTGCCCATAAGCTTGTTAGGAGGGGGTAATGGTAAAGGTAATCTTTGTGTTTTCATAAATTGTGTGAATGGAAATCAAGACTAAATTTAAATTTTAGGGTTATTCATGGCATAATAAATGAGGTACAATGTAATTATTATATTATTTCATATATTTAAGCGTTTAAGATCAAAAACGAAAACATGTTTGGATCCGAAACCGACAAAGCCCCACTTAGGAATACTAAGATGAAGCGATCTGCTTCTGAAATAACCCTTAACAGCCAAAAGAATAATACTAAGACTCCAGATGAAGAGAACGTCATATCCGGTGATAGACTTAAAGCCATGATAGCTTGTCAGAATGCCCCATCTGACTTACCTGAAATGATTAAATTGCCTAATGATGGATTGTTAATTGCCCCGGATAGTATGGATAGTTTAGAGAAGCTCAATTTCAACTATAATAAAAAAAGGAATTCCTACGAAGTCAGGGGTTCTAACAAACATAATTTCAACGGTAACAATGGGAGCTGCACCGAGAGTAGGAAGAAAAAATGGTACATCTTAAATGAAGGTACTTGCTCTTCTAGTCAACAAAGCAGGACCAGCTCGGCACTATCGGATCCATCCACAACCACATTTTACCATTCTTCTAATAAATCCCGTAATATTATAGCACGTAATATTTGATAAATGGGTTAAATGCTGCGAAAGGCCTTTTATTAAATTAGCTATAGTTTATGATATAACATTTGGTAATCCTAAGTTCATTTCAGAGAAAACAATATTTTTTCTATTATTTGCATGTGATTATCTTAAGCCAACCGACTCGTCATAAAATGCGACCAAGACAAAAAATTGACTGGAGAAAAAATTGTAGAAATTGCCAAGACTGGAATTGAATCTCTGGCTATTGTTGATACTTCTATCCTTTTGGATAAAGATATGAAGGATGTCGAAATGGTTACATCCAACGATCCCTCCCCTCCTCTCATTCTCGCTAACGGGATCAAAGGTGCCGAGGAAAATGGTATTGTAATAAACAATGCTATTCATAGCAACGAGCCTTCCTTGACCTCGAATAACGAAATTTCAATGGTTTATGAAGGTTTGGGCTTGCAGCTAAGAACTCTACCAGATGTTGTTTCTAACGCAGCAAAGGCGATTACCGAAGTTGACTCCGGATCACTTCCGGTACCTTTATCATTTGCTTACCTCAACGGAGCGGAAGCAAAGATTGCCGAAGGTATTTTAACGAATGAATATAATACATTTTTTTTGGTAGTTTCTTACGATTGCTTTTGATATAAGGTGAAGATGTATATGAAATAGACTTAAGATGCACTTATTCCTTTAAGCCAATTTAGAATTTTAAAAAAAAAGAATTAAAGTTTATTTTTTAATTTATAATGAATTATTTAAAATTTTTTTATTATATCCTATATAATTAATTCCTCATTGTTATTTTTTTAAAAATTTCAGATGAAATAATGGACGAAAACGTTAGAAGGCTAAGTCTTTCTGAGTTTTTTGGACCTACACTTAGGAAGAGACCCAGAGTGAATGTCAAACTCAGAAGCATGATTAGAAGCAATGTATTGAGAGGACCAGGTTTAATTTATCTCCTTATGTATTTTCTTAAGATAATGAGGACTTAAGAAAAAATATAATATTTATAAAGTGTGAAATCGGATGAGAAAATATTTGATAATAAATATTGAGTTTACAATTTTCAAGAATTCATTTTTGCCTAACGGAATTTTCAGGTATTGAAGCCGATTTGGTACTCCAAATCGGGAAATGGGGCAAGGGTATATTGGGAACTTTCAATTTTCCCATCGGTATAACAGTATGTCCGTTCACAAACAACATCATTATTTGCGATAGCGGTAACGATAAAATTAAAATCTTTGACGAAAATGGGATACAGGAGGTCATTTTTTTTATTTGAGACCTCTTTTTTTTATTTGTGTCAGAACCCACATCAATATTTTGGAGGAAACATTTTTGTAATGCTTAAGAATGCAAAATCCTACTAGGTTGGGAAATAGGGACTTGAGGATTTTTACTCACAATATTCATCTGGGACGACTGTATTCTTTTAAACTTATATATACATATTTAATGTGCCATAAGACTTATTAATTTGTTAAAAATTCTAGGTTGTGATTGGTACGTCTCCCAAAGAGAGAAGGTTTACTAGACCTTCGGCAGCGGTGGTTCTAGACAACGGAAACATTTGTATAAAAGATGATTTTAGGCTGCAAATATACACCCCCACGGGTAAATTTCTCCAAGCGTTCGGCGAGGGTCACGTTAATAGGCCATACGGTATCATAATATTTATATTAAAAAATTTGAAGGAAAATTCAAATAAAAGCGGAAATGGATGTTTACCTATTAATGCTAATTTTAATTTGTCTACAAAAGTGTTATTGATATTAGTTTCTTAAAATAAATTCTGTTTAACGTGAAAGATAATTATCATACGAAATTAAGAATTTTGAAAATAAAGAAATCGCTAAACTATACTTTTGTTATTGAAAGTTATACCCTATGGGGTTTGCTTTTATAACGATGTACGTTAATTATTATTAAAATTATCTATTATCATCATAAAAAATATCCTAACAACTCTGACAAATGATATTCCATATAGTAAGCATTATTCCAAATACTAAAATAAACGATATAATATGCATACAATATAGATTAGAGGTCTACAATGAGCGGGTTTTAGCCAGAATACTCGCCCAATCATTGTTTTGAAATTTTTTAACACGCTTGCCTAATGCTTAAAAATTATTTTTGGAAACTTTTATTATTTGGCCTAAAAATATATTTAAAATTTACCCTCCCACTCCTGGCCATTACTTTAAAAAAAAATTAAACCGGCCCGCCATCTGTTCAATATGAAAATATTTTAGAAAACCCGACCACGTCCGCCCGTATTCGGGCGAGCTAAAAACCCGCCCATTGCAGACCTCTAATATAGACAATGAAAATTCATGCACATATTATGTTATTCTAACAGGGTTGAGTTTAACCAAACAAGGTTGGATTGTGACCTGTTGTTACACCTTCCCTGAACCAACCCTGCAATTTTACGACAGCGAGACGGGAAAATTGGTTAAGCAAAGCCCCTTGTATACTATATGCGGAAATTGGAGACAAGGTTCTAAGTGCCGATTTTTGGCCGTTCATGATGATTGGATCGCCGTTACTGATTTAGGTTTGTATTAAAATGTGTAGGAGGCGAAGAAACAAATAAATTCTTCCAGCCTTAATATGATATATTTTAAACTAAAAAAGTCAAAGTGAAAACTTATCTTGAAATGATATTTGGAGCAAAAATAGTATAAAATTTGTTTTGCATTCGATTTTCGAGTTAGGAAATTTATATTATAAGAGATTCCGTTTTCTACAAATAATTGCTAGAGGTGAAGTTTATATCCGTGGCCCAAAAAATCTACCATTAGAATATTATTTGAATATATAGAGGCCCTAAGATTTATATATATATTTATTCACGTCTATTCGTACAGGGAAGCATTTAGTTTACCGGGTAGATTTCGACGGAAAACCGTTATCCATATTCGGAGGACATAGCAATAGTTTGGTGGATTTAATCGAACCGTCGGGCATAGCCGTTGATCATGACGGAAATTTGGCCATAGCTGATTCTAAAAGTGATAGAATTCATGTAAGGATATTTTATACTTAATTCAAGCTCGTATGACCAATTTGAGCGGTTTGAGATATTGATCGTATTGGAAAACAATAATTTAATTTTACTATATACAAATAAAAAACAAAAATTATAAATGCGTGCACTGTGGAGCCCTGTATCTGACCAATTTTTTGGCTCATATAAGGTCGGATAAAGCCGATCTAATACCCGATATTTAATTTTCAAAAATCTTATAAATTCGAAAATGAAAGCCGGAATCCGCCCGAGTTCGGTCGGATAGGACTCAGATCTGGTTGTACAGGGTTCTAATATATTGTATTCTCTAAAATATAAAAAGGTATTTGACAAAGATGGCCAATATATATGTCCTATAAGAACTACCAAAAATGGCAGCTTGGTATCCCTAAGCAAACCAGCTGATATGTGCTTTGGGCCTGACGGGTGTCTTTACATCGTTAATTTGCTGGGCCATAATACCATGAAATTCAAGTTTTTGGCCAACAAGCAACCGACCGAATGGGAATCAATTAGGGACCCATGAATTACGGATTTTTTTCATATTGATTGATTTTAAGCATTCATTAATTTTTTTTATATATTTTTTCATATTGATTGATTTTAAGCATTCATTGGATTGAAATTATTTTTTATGTTATTGTTGACGTTTAAGGAATTGATTTGTTAAATTATAAACAACCTTTAGTGGTGTGCTAATTATAATTATTGAATTTTGTGCGAAAGTTTTTGCTCATAATGGGATGAATTAAATGTTTATAAAAAAAATATTATAAATGTAAATTTCTGTTTAAAAAAATCAAAATATAACTAAAAAAGGTGAAAAAAAATACAAAAATATCAACAAAAAAATTTAAAAATTATTAAAATTATATATTTTTCCTAACGGAAAATGAATAACTTTATTTAAAAAAATACAAAAATATTAAAAAAAAATTATTTAAAAAATTTAATAAAAATCTAAAAAATTAAAAAATTAACAAAAATATTTAAAAAATATAAAATATAATTAAAAATAAAAAATATTTAAAATATATAAAATATTTAAAAAAATATTTAAAAAAATATTTATAAATAGTATATATAAAGTTTACTTTTAGTATTATAAATATAATGATCTCATCTCAGTTGCAAATTTAAACATCAGTCTAATGATTTATAACTCTAGTACTTTTAAATTAATTATAAAGGTAGCTTATTTACTGTTGGCTTGATGTTATCTTATCTCTTAAAATTTTATGATATACTAATATTTGTGGATTTATATTCATATTTTAAATATATATTAATATTATACAATATATATACATAATAATTAATATACTTAAATTTATGCTAAATGTTATTAATTTTATATATATTTTTTTTCATATTTATAAATATAAATACCATTATTTGGAGTGTTTAAGAAAAACTTTATGTTATATTAAATATAAATATATTTTATGCTCATTTTTTAAATTAATAAATTTTATGCATGTTGAATTGATAGAACCTTATTTACATTTTACATTTTAAATTTTAAAATGTTAATTTTAAAGATAATTTTTTTGATAGACTAGATTTTTAAATAGAATAGACTTATACCCTTAACAAATTCTATTTAGTATTTGGTTCACATAACGGTTTCTGTAAATATATGATAGAATCTTAGAGGGGTCATTACTATGAATAGAAGGCTTAATTATCCCGGACAAACACTTCCAATAAATTATAAAAACAAAACAAAATTATATATTTATATTTATTCAATCAAGTAACGCTAACAAAGACTTGGAGGGAGGCCAGTTTAACAAAAGTATTATCATGGTAAAATTTGTAATTTTGAAATAAAGATTCAAACAAAATAATTATGGGTAATGCACAGAATATTTAATTTAGTTAGGAAAATATATAAATATTATTCCATATTATGGGCATTTAAGTGTTCTTCATTACTCTTGGTGTTGTTGAATCCTATCGTGATAATTTTAGTTAAAAAATTTTATAACCATATATTAATTTGATTTACAATAATTTTTACACCCTTAGATTTCATCATTAATTTTAATAAATAAAATATCTTAAAAAGATTATAATAAGATGTAAAATTAAGTTTATGAATTATATCATTTATGGCTCGGGTCTCCTGAGAGCTAATGTTACTGCAGAATAGATGTTGTGCCTGGTGATTATTCATAATTTATTATCTATTTAAATTATACCGAGCTCTTAAACAACAAAAATCAAAAAAATTATATATAATGGTCAACAACTAACATCTAATACAATTATTAGTAATAACTCAATAAAAGATATTTTCTTTTTATTAAATAACTAGGACCTGTCGGGGGAGGGGGGGGAGGAATTAATTTGCTCCCACCAGAAGAAAAAAATAGGGGCATAGCCTGTCACTCCAAAATATTTGATTTTTTATAATGGTAATTTAGCATATTAATATTTTTTATACCATGAAATAAACATAAAATATTATATAAACAAAATAGATATTATCATAATTGATACTTTTAATTCAAAAACTAACCTTTCCCACCCTTTAGAATTATTGGTTCTCAATGCAATAAAGATTGTTACAGACATTAATCCTACCTTTAATGACACAAATCGAGTTTATATATAGGTAGTTTAACAAAAATCGAAATACGTAGTATCTAATAGCGCCTGGGTATTCAGTTTCTGAATATTGGAAGGATGCTTGGTATACTACTGATGCCTGTAAATCTTCGTAGTGTTAAGTCAGTTTGGAATAATTATGAGGCGATGTATAAGCATTTCAAAAATTCAGCAATATAGCAACAGTCCAAAATTCAATAGGTTGTCTATCCAATTGTTAAATGATAAATTCTTATCAGATCCCGCCTGATGTATGTTGTTTCATTTTAATTTCCAGCTGTCTTTAAAGCATCCAAGAACAACCACTTTACCTAAAGATGAAATATCAATAAAGCGAACATTCGTGTTCTAAAATCGTTTAAGAATATGCCTGGTTGGTTCTAAATCTCTTTCATAATTTCTAATGAATCTTTATTTAAATATTTATAGAGAAGAATATATGAAAATAGCTCAAGAAGCTAAAGAATTAATGAATTTGGATTAGTAATATTGAAGGAAATTCATTGTATCAACTAATCAATTCATTATACGCCTCAATAGACAATATGCAAGTTAGGTTAAAGGATGCTAATTCATATAATTCTACTAATTAAAAATATTATATTTTAGATTATACCATTTTATCTTTTTAGCTAGCTTATCTGATATAAAATATTTTTAAAAAAAACTTGCCAATAGACTTTCATATTATTATTGGTGAAGAGCAATTTTAACGGCTTTGTTTCCAACTGAAGCTCGATTTAAATCTCGCAATAAATGGGATGAGGTAATATATTGATAATAACTATAAACATAATAAATTCCGATGTGCTTTGAAAGAGTTTCAAAATTATATTAACACAATTCCGTGATGAATGTCATGATAAAAAATCTCTCTGTAAGACTTATGATAAAACTTATTTGCAGTTTATTGATGCTAAACGTTTAATGGGCCTTCCTCCTCAATAAGTGGAATTCTTATCCATATATTAATAAGTAACTGAAAAGTCACAGGTCTGCATTCTGCACATGATAACCAATCAAGAATTAGTGCGGTTATCAATGAAAATATTGAAAAAGATTTGCTAAAAGCGAATATTGTAGGTTTATTTACACCCTTTTTAGATCTATTCCAATTTAATGAATTACATTATAATAACATAATTATTTATATATGTTAGCGTCAATGTGTTATTTTTTCGACTTTAAATTTGTTTTTTGAGTAAATTTTTAAGGATATGTATTCCATCATGTCATGTTAAAAATGCCTATCTTAAGAATTGTATACAATTTCGCCTTAGTATATAATTTATATAAAAGATCTATGAAAAAATTAATATAAATTTATTATATTTATGCTCAGATTTTCACGGCAAAATTGTCTAAAATTCATAGGGTTGGTAATCCAAACATGATGGAAATAAACTTCCTGTAAAATCCGATTTTTAAATTATTTTTACATAAAAAAGCACTCAAAAAATGATTAAAAGTTGAAAAATAACACTGGCAAAAAACGCTGACGTTAACATATATAATTATATAATGCATTCTAAAATATTATATCATTTTATATCCAATTTATATTTTTTGCAATATATTTCAATTTTTATATACGCTAATTTCTTAATAATGTACTTTATATCTTTTCGATATAAATATTTTTTTTAAAAACATTTCAAAAGAACTTTTGACTAATTCTTCTTTTATTCCCATTTTAGCGTGTTCCCTACTATTTCTTTTAGAGTAATAGCGTGCACATGCCGAAATTTTAAGATTACAGAGATGTAAATAACAATTTTATCCTTGATAGATAGAAAAATTAGTTCATAAATATAATTAATTATTTGAAGTAAAAAATTTATAATCCACTAATTAGAATATTTAAGGAAGGAGCAAAGGGGTCCCCGCCTCCTAAAAACTTTGAAAAAGTCCCCCTGAAATAAAA